CCCCGCTGCCCCACTCCTCACCCACTAACAGAAGCCAGAGGGCTCTGAGGTCCAACCAGCCAGCAGACCCTGGCCTCGGAGGACAGGCCCGGCGCCTCGCTGCCCTCCGGCCCACCGAGCCCGTGACAAGCTCCCTCAGGTAAGCCTTCCCAGGGCCCTGCTGCAGGACAGTGAAGGCCCCAGGCGACTTGGCCACAGCACAGGCCGGCTCCCCGGGTGCACACTGTGAGCCAGATTCCACAGTTTCTTTTGGGGACCCTCAGGCACAAGGCAGGTGGCATTTGAACAGCCCTCAGTCTACACACCTGGACCCCAGGGGCTTGAGTGAGCTTCAAGGCACTCGGGGACCCATATGGTGAGGTCTGCAGAGGAAAGAAATGCTCGTGACGTTCCCCAAAGGAGCAGACCCGCCACTCCAAAGCCCACAGGGCCGTGCCTGCCACCGTCCTCCACACCCAGGGACACTCCAGGCCGTGTCCTGGGCCAGCACATGGGGCACTCCACGCAGGCAGCAGGGTGACCAGGCTCTGGGGGAGCAGAGAGCATCTGCCCCATGTCGCCATGGGGGGAGCGTCAAGAGCGGGATCTGAGCTGGACTTGGCATGGCTGTGAACAGGACAGACCAAGGCCGCCAACACCCCAGTGCTCTGCGAGGGCAAGGTCAGGCTGGCCGGTTGTTTGCAGAAGACTGGGCCCGGATGGCAGGCTGCCCCGGGAAAGCAGGGAGTGGTCGGCACGTGGCTCCACGGAGCGCGTGCGCAGTGTGAGGCAGCAACCAAAGGAGTGTTAACACACTCAGGAAGGGTGCCCCACCGTCCCGGACACCCCCAGATGACGGACGCCAATCACCCTAACTCGCCTCTCCACTGGCCCCACCAAGATCACTCTCCCAAGGCATGTTCCCGGAATTCTGCCGCGAGAACTGCGCAGGTGGCCGGCGCTGCTGTCCGAGCACCCCTCCCCGGCACAGATTTGGGGTCCCAGCATCTGCAAGGCTCAATGCGGGCGCCAGGAGGCCCTCTTCCTCCGAGCCTCTGCCACCCCAGGGCTGCATGCAGAAGTGATGGAGGGGTGGCCAGAGGGGACCACGGTGGTTTGCACGGGGGAACAGAGGGGCCTCTGGTGTGGGCACGGGTGATGGCGGGCCTGCGCCTGGAGGAGGAGGTGGATGGGGAGCAGGGGACCTTGGGTTTGGTCACACGTGTGTCTGGGTCTCTGCGACGCCCTCTGACCCCAGCATGTCCCACTGCCCCAGCGACGACGCCCACTTCTCTGTTGCAGGTTTTCCCAAGGGGGCCGGTGCCCAGGATGGACGTGTCGCCTGAGCACACAGAGCAGGGTGGGGGGCTGGTGCTGGTCCGCCGGCAGCCCCCAGCGCCCCGGGGCCTGCTCGAGACGCTAAAGGCCAGGCTGCAGCGGAACTGCACGTGCAGCGCGCAGGGGGCCGGGGCGCTGGTGCAGGACCTGCTCCCCGCCACACGCTGGCTGCACCAGTACCACCCGCGGGAGGACCTGGCAGGGGACGTCATGTCCGGGCTGGTCATCGGCATCATCCTGGTGCCACAGGCCATCGCCTACTCACTGCTGGCGGGGCTGCAGCCCATCTATAGCCTCTACACCTCCTTCTTCGCGAACCTCATCTACTTCCTCATGGGCACCTCGCGCCACGTCTCCGTGGGCATCTTCAGCCTGCTCTGCCTCATGCTGGGGCAGGTGGTGGACCGCGAGCTCCTGCTGGCCGGCTTCAACCCTGCCCAGGACGGCCCGGGGCCCTGGGACAACGGCAGCACCCTCAATGCCTCGGCCGCCATGCTGGCACTCGGGCTGCAGGGCTGCGGGAGGGACTGCTACGCCATCCGCGTCGCCACTGCCCTCACACTGGTGGCCGGGATTTACCAGGTGAGGAGCCAGTGGCCGGCCGGCTCACCCACTCAGAGGTGCGCCCCCAGGGGCTCGCGCCCACCTGAAGGGCAGAGCAGGGCGGGGGGGAGCACAGGGCTGGGGCCTCGGGGGACAGTGGGTTTAACCAGCAAGGAGAGGACAGAGAGGCACAGGCAGAGGTGGGTGTGTGACAACGCGGCAGGACAGGGCTGAGGTGCCCTGGGCGCAGGGAGCCTGTCCAGCCAGCTGTGGCCTGGGCAGGGACAGGCAGCCAGAGTGGCCTCAGCTCCAGACACGCCAATTACAGCCCACAAGCCTCCCTGGGCTTCCTACCCAACGTGGGACCCTCGGGGCTGCCTGCCTTCCCATAGTCTCCCCACACCCACTCCCGTACCAAGACTGTCCACCCCGATGTCTCCCCCTCCCAGGGCCACCCCAGGTCCTCCCAGCAGCTCCAGGTCTCCCGGTGGAGAGTGGAGAAAGGATCTGTCTTCCAATGCTCAGAGCCCACGTATGCAGGGACCAGAAGTGAGCATCTGTGGCCACACATGTACCTCCAGGGTCTGTGGTGCCTCTGTGTGCGCATGCATGTGCGGGGGGGCCATGGGCAGAGTACATTTGGGACATGAGCAGCAGCAGTGGAAGGACATCAGGCTCTGTGCCGCGGCCACCCCACTGCCCTGACCACACTGTCCACAGGTCCTCATGGGCGTCCTCCAGCTCGGCTTCGTGTCCGCCTACCTCTCGCAGCCGTTGCTCGACGGGTTTGCCATGGGGGCCTCCGTGACCATTCTCACCTCCCAGCTAAGGCACCTGCTGGGCGTGCGGGTCCCGCGGCACCAGGGGCCAGGCATGGTGGTCAGCACTTGGCTGAGTCTGCTGCGCAGCGCCGGGCAGGCCAACCTGTGTGACGTGCTCACCAGCACCGTGTGCCTGTCTGTGCTGCTGGCTGCTAAGGAGCTCTCGGACCGCTTCCGGCACCGCCTGAAGGTGCCGCTACCCACAGAGCTGCTGGTCATTCTAGTGGCCACGCTCGCATCCCACTTCGGCCAGTTCCACGAGCGCTTTGGCTCCAGTGTGGCCGGCGACATCCCCACGGGCTTCATGGCCCCGCAGGTGCCGGACCCTAGGCTGATGTGGCGCGTGGCACTGGACGCTGTGCCCCTGGCCCTCGTGGGCTCTGCCTTCTCCATCTCGCTGGCGGAGATGTTCGCCCGCAGCCACGGCTACTCCGTGCGGGCCAACCAGGAGCTGTTGGCCGTGGGCTGCTGCAACGTGCTGCCCGCCTTCTTCCACTGTTTCGCCACCAGTGCCGCCCTGGCCAAGAGCCTGGTGAAGACGGCCACCGGCTGCCACACACAGCTGTCCAGCGTGGTAAGCGCCGCCGTGGTGCTGCTTGTGCTGCTGGCACTGGCGCCGCTGTTCCGGGACCTGCAGCGGAGCGTGCTGGCCTGTGTCATCGTCGCCAGCCTGCGCGGGGCCCTGCGCAAAGTGAGGGACGTCCCACAGCTGTGGCGGCTCAGCCCAGCCGACGCGCTGGTCTGGGTGGCCACAGCAGCCACCTGTGTCCTGGTCAGCACTGAGGCCGGCCTGCTGGTCGGCGTGCTCCTCTCATTGCTCAGCCTGGCCGGCCGCATGCAGCGGCCACACGCTGCCCTGCTCGCCCGCATCGGGGACTCAGGCTTCTACGAGGACGCCCAGGAGTTTGAGGGGCTGGTCCCCGAGCCCGGGGTGCGGGTGTTCCGCTTTGCGGGGCCACTCTACTACGCCAACAAGGACTTCTTCCTGAGGTCTCTCTACAGCCTCACAGGGCTGGACGCGGGGCGCGAGGCCGCCAGGAGAAAGGAGAAGGGCTCAGAGACAGGGGTCAGTGAAGAAGACCCTGTCGAGGGCAAGGAGCTGGGCCCAGTGAGCAGCTCAGCTGTGCTGGTGCCCACAGCGGCTGGCTTCCATGCAGTGGTCATTGACTGTGCCCCGCTGCTGTTCCTGGACATGGCCGGCATGGCCACGCTGCGGGACCTGCGCCGAGACTACGAGGCCCTGGGCATCACCCTGCTCCTGGCCTGCTGCAGCCCTGGGGTCAGGGAGGCCCTGCAGAGAGGTGGCTTCCTTGGGGAGGACCAGGGGGACATGGCTGAGGAAGGGCAGCTGTTCCACAGTGTGCACAGCGCCGTGCAGGCAGCCCAAGCCTGCCACAGGGAGCTGGCAGCTGCCGACTCCACCCTCTAGCAGGGCTAGCGCCTGCCCACAGCAACCTGAGGCGCACAGCCTCTTGCTGTGGTTCACCGCGACCCTCCCTGAGCGATGCTGTGCCATCTCCACCCAGGAGGAACCAGTGAACCCCAACGGGGACAGGAGGACGGCTGTGAACACACACGTGGACCCAGACACCCGAGAACCCAAGAACCGGGCCTTTGGGACAAATGCTGCCAGCGTCAACCTGGGCCCTGGTGCCGTGTGTCGCGGGCCTGGTTGGACGTGGTGTTGCCATTTTAGTAGAACAAGGGCCTCGAAGCAATCACGTGGCCTCCATGGTGCCAAAGGCTGAGAGCTGGGGGCTCTGGCCAGGGCAGGAGGCCTGTGTGTCTCTGGAAGCCCCTGACACACACACCCAAGTGTTCCTTACACCTCGTGCCTTGGCCCAGTGGGGCCTTGCAGGGCCAGAGGCAGGTGTGACCAACACAACCTCAGCCCGGCCCTCAGGCACGGTGTCCCTGCACAGCCGGACCAGAGAACACTCAGCACGGGGTGTGTGGCTGTCCACTCCCAGTGCCGGGTCCAGCCGCAAAGCCTGGGTGCCGCGACACCAACCTGACCCTGAGCCTCCAGGGGACCCCCGGCGGGAGGCAGCTGTGCCCGATCCAGGGGCTGCCCAGGCACCCCCAGCCGTGCAGCAGGGAAAACGTCCTTCCACCTCCTGTCCCCACAGGACACACTGCCGGGAAGCATAGGGGCAATGGTTCCGCGGAGTAGGATCTCCTGCCCCGCGCTCCCACCACAGCCAGGCACAGCGCCGTCCTCCACACCTGGACACCACCTCCTCCCGGCCTCAATCCTCATCTCCAAACAGTGGGCTCTGCCCAGCTGCTCCCAGGCTGCCTCCCCTCTCCAACACCCACCTGGCCGTGATGAGGTCCAGCAGCCAGTGGGTCCGGACCTGCTCGATGCCACTGTGAGGGACGGCGCCCACATAGGCCAGGTTGAGCTGCTGGTCCCAGCTGAGGTCATACTGGTCAGCCCGGCTGTGTGGCAGTGGAGGACTGGGGAGAGAACAAGGAGTGGGGGCATTAGTCCCCATGCTGGGGCCGGCAGAGCAGCCATGGCACAGCCAGCACCGACAGGTCTAGGGCGAGGACCGCCCGGGGCACAGGCTCCGCAGATGGACTCTAGAGTGTTTACCAGTGAAATTTATGTCCCTTATGTAATAAAGTGACTCCTGACGCCAGAAATGTCATGAAGTCTCATGGGCGTCGGGGGCTCCCAGAGCAGAGAAGACCACATCCCCACCCTGCTCCTTGGCACAAGGAGCCCCAGGCACAAGCCTGGGGCATCTCAGTGGAAGCCTGACACAGAGGGGGTTGGGGACACACAGGGTCAGGGACACGCAGGGATAGAGAGCAGGTCCCACTGCAGGGACATTCGACAGCGTGGGGGCTGCCCCCTTGGGAAGGTCCTGGTCTGCAGCAAAGGGCAGTGTCCAGAGCCAAGGCCCCTCCCAGGGTCTGGGCTACCTCAGCGGCCACCAGGCTCAGCCATGAGGCTCTTCAGATCTCGAGGACACCAGGCAAACTCCGGGCCTGGCCCCAGACCTCCACCACAAAGGGGACCCACTCAGCTAAGAAATTCCCGCGACACCCCCAACACGCGTGGAGCCGGTGGACAGAGAGAAGACCCCGCTCTGCTTGAGGGTGGATCCCAGGGAAGGCATGAGCCGGCTAGGGGTATTTCTGGGCTTAGGCGGCCTTCCTTACTTCGGAGCGCCAACTGGGCGCCATGGGCGCAGGAGTCTCCGGGGCGAAGGAGCCCAAGGGTCTCTCCCAGAGGTGCCAGAGGCCCGGGGACGGGGCGCGGCGGGAAAGAGGCGAGATGGGCCGCTCCGGCCTGTTTCCCTGTGCAGGGCGCTCACCAGAAGCCGGTGCTCCTCCAGAAGGGCCGCAGGGGCCGCAGCACGCGGGCTGCGTCCACGCGCACCAGGTGCGGAGCCTCGGCCAGGGCCCCGGGGGAAGCGATCAGCAGCGCGACCAGGAGCGCGAGCCGCGTGGCGCAGGGGCGCGGGGGACACATGGCGGGGGCGCCGGGGGAGCGGGGACACCCCCAGCCCAAACAAGCCCCCCGCCCCCGGTCCTCGGCGCTCCTGGTTCGGACGTCTGCGCCGCGCCCGCCGGTTCCGCCTCCGGGTCGCGCGCCACGTGACTGCCGCCGCGAGGCGGGGCCTGGCGGAACAGGCCGGGCCTGTAGGCGGGGGCGGGGCCTGCGAGGCCGGCTGGGTCTGGGGGGCGAGGGCGGGTCTTGGAACCCCGGAGGGCGGGGCTGGGGCGGGGCTTAGGTGGGCCGGCGGGGCGTGGGTGGGGCCAGGGAGGTGGGGTCGCAGGTGCAACTGTACAGGCTTTAAATCGCGCGCATCCTGAGGAGGTCACACAGCGTCGCGTGTCCAACAATCAACCATCTCAGCGCAGGGAAAGCCTCTGACCCTGCGCTGTCCTCCCTCAGACACCCGAACCCGTCCCAGGAGGCCACCAATGCGCCAGGCCCTTCGGTTGGCGACAAACAGCATGGGGAGAGACAGGAGTTGATAACTTTCTAAAAGTGATGAAAACCATCCAGCCGCAGAATCAGGAAGTGCACTGCAGCCCAAGAGGAAACGCACAAAAAACACTGGATCCAAGCTCCTCCTAGTGAAACGGGGAAACCAAAGAAAAGGGAAAACCTTCAATTAGCTGGAGGAAGAAGAGACCTACTACCTTCAAAGTGCAGAACGGTAAGAGAAAACACTGGTTTTTCAACAGAAGAGCTGAAACCAGGAGACAGCAGAGCAAAAACGTCCTGAAAGTAAGTAACTGGCAACCTAGAGTCTAAATCCAGCATAAATGAAGGTCAAATAAAGATGTTTCCAAGACGCCGACTCTGAGAACGTTTGTCTCACTGACCCCCCCCTTAAGGAAGCATTCAATGGTGTCCTTCAAGCAGGAGGAGAAGGATCCAGAACAGCCCAGAGGTTCAGGAAGGAGGCAGACTGACAGGATGTTGCATGGAAACCCACCACAGAGTGACTGACACAGCAGCAGTCATGATGTCTTACACTGTATCCAGACAATTAAGATGTGCTCGTGGAGGTCGTGAGGGGCATAAGTGGAGTGTGGTTGGCTGGCCCCCAACGGCGTCCACAAGGCCAGTGCACGTGACCTTACCTGGTGAAGAGACTGAGAGATGTGATTAAGTTAAGGATCTTGAGACGTGAGTTGATCCTGGATTATCCCAGTGGGCCCTAAATGCCATCACAGTGTCCTGGTAAGGGGAAGGCAGAGGGAGATTTGACACGAAAGAGGCCACGTGATGACCTCAGAAGAGAGAGATTTGAGGACTGTTCTAAAATGTGTTCTCAAGATTTGTTTTAATCAGGTGTGGCCAGACACAGAGACGTGGAAATCCTTGCCATAGGGGGAGAAGGTCGTGCTCACAGATCCCTAGGAACAAGAGGCAGGCTCGCCACACAGGGCTGCACCGGGAGCCTGAGGGGCATTATGAAGGGCCTCGTATGGAAGGAGTCTCTATGACACAGGCAGGACACCCCCCTTCCAATACAGGAAAGGGCGATGGGAAAGCTTCCCAAGTTGGCATGAGGCATGAGTCTGCCAAAGGGCCTTTAATGAAGGGAGTTGAAGGCCGGAGACTCACCCAGGGTCCGCTTGCTGGACTGGAATTGGAAAGGAGAGCATTATGTCTCTCGGTCCAGCGGGCTCTCTGGGACCTCGCAGGGGTATGACAGTTCTATCTGCATTTTAACAAGTGACCTGTCTTGGTCACTGTTGTAATGTCTGTAACTCCAAAGGGAGCAGGTATGTCTTGGCCAGGCCTTGGATTGTGGCCTCAGTATATGTGCAGACATGTTGATTTTAATTTATGTGTTGGATGTCCGTGAGACGAGAGATTCCTAGAGTTCTGTACTCTGAAGGGGACGCTTTTCAGGCAACAGCCGGGCCATGTATGGTCAATGTGCAGAGGAGCCATTAGCTCCTTAGCCTCAGCATCCACTGCTAAGACAATGGATGAAGTTTGGCCAAGTGTCTGGACCTTCAGGTCCCGTCTGTTATCGGGGAATCCTGGCTGACGGGTGGAAAGCAGCAGCATTCCACCAAGCGCCATCACAGTGGTGGGTGGCAGTGCCACTTACATGGTCCACGAACTCCCACTGGTGTTCGCTCAGTTAGTCCCGAGGGGCTCCAGGTAGCCGAGGGGTCTGGGGGAGGGATATGTTGCCACCAGAACCCAAAAAAGACTAAAAGGTGTTGGCTGTGTGTCCGTAATGAGTGTGTCACATGAGTCTCCCTGGAGAAGGCTGTCATCAATGTGAGGCCACACCGTGCTCGTGGAGAGAGGTGGCAGCAGCCGACATCTTGTCTGCAGAGGTTGTGTGTGCTGGAAAGCCGAGGGCACCCCCGGGCAGCCTGGGGAAGAGGCACAGTGTCCCTTCAGGGTGGAGGCAACTGCAGCTGAGAGGCTGGCGAAGTGGGCACTGGACTGAGTATGTCAGCCCACCCCACGAGCAAGACACTCTCCAGGAGTCGGCTGGGCGGAGTCCTAGTTCAACAATATTGGATGCTGGGGGTGGAGGCCCTAAGGGACAGGACCCCCACTCCAAGGCTGTGGGGGTCTACCTCGAGATGCCTTGGGTTTTTCCAGTAAAAGAACAGGCAAAATTGGGCTCTTTTTTCTCCCTTACATTGTTTTTTCTTTCTTCCTTTTCTCCCTGCTCCTTTTTATTTTCTGTTTTCGGTCTGTTTGTCTCCGGCTAAAAAGGGCAGGGATGGGCTTTGGCCGCCTCTCCCTGGGACACCAGCCATCGGTGACACATTGGTCCCTTTGCCTCTTGTTCTTCTCGTAACAAAATCCAGTTGTCTCTCTTAAATCAGATCTGGCTGCATCTCTAGCCAGGTGAGAACTTTTCCCTTTTCCCCTGACTGTACTGACTGTATGCTTGAAGCTCTGGTGTTTGGGCCGCTGTCCTGGGGATATGGCCACTCCCAGGGCTAGTGGATTCATGGAGGTGCTAAGACGCCCAAGAGGGCCTTCGATGACAGACAAACCACCAGAGCCCACACCCCACTGGCTCCCATCTCCCTCTCACACACCAAGCCGACATTCCTCCTGCCCCAAGTCACCCCAGGCCAGGTACTGGACAACCAGGGACTGCCCCGCCCCCATGGCCCAGGCCCACTGATATTGTTCAAACCAGCCAGGCCTAACTTTCTCCGTGTACCTCTGCTGCCTCACACGTTCCTCCCTGCCAAGACCCCAATAAGGCTCTGGGCCACGTTCTCTTCACTCCTGCCTGTCTCCTGGCCCAAAGTGGTGTTTCCCGTGTGGCCCTGTGTGGCGTGGGGTACCCTCTCTCTTGGGAAATGCGAGTAATAGATTCTTCTTTCAAAGGCAGTTGTCTCTGTTTCTGTCACGTTACCACATCTGATTGAAACAAACCCTGGGTACCATTTTAGAACGAGGATGCTGTGCCGCTTTGACAATGGAGGAAGGGGCCACAGGTGCAGGGATCGCAGCTCCAGAAGCTGGAAAAGGCCAGCAGTCGCCTCTGGAGGGAATGGTCCTGCTGACACCCAGAACACACATGGAGGGCATCTGTTCTCCTAGATCCGGACCATAAGGCCAGAGCAGCCAGGTCAGCGTGGCAGTGGGCACAGATGGACAAAGGGCCCCCAGGGACGCAGCACTGCATACATGGCAGGGTTCACGGGGTCAGAGGGTTTTGTAAAACCCGCTAAACCAAGGTGCTGTGACCACAGCGGTTCCCACACTGTTTCACTGTTTCAGGCTCTTGGTGGCGCTTCCCCTCTTGCTGGAGAGGTGGAGGCACTTTTGGGATCTGGCCAAGGGGAAGTTGAGTTGTGGAAATGTCAGCTGGGTTCAGCAGCGTATATTTATGTGTCCCAGTCACTTCTGTGCACAGCAGAGTTAATGCCAGACATCCTGGCGTAGAGAACAGCTTCCAGGAACTCCCGTGGCTACACACCAGGAGCAGTGAGTCACACGAGCCTTTGGAGAGGCGTTAGACACCCGGTGACGGGAAATGCTGAGGTTGACAAGGTCATGTAGAGTCCTGACAGCCGAGGTGACAAGGACATGGTGTCGGAAGCCTCGTCGGGTCAGCAGGGGGGTCTGAGATCCGCCATGGCAAGGAGCGTGCGCTGCCCTGGAGCCTTCCCGCTCCCAGACGAAAGAAACAGAGAAAGTTCTCTCCAAGTCTGGCAGCAGTCTTAACGTGTACAATGTAGCCAGTAATGAGCTGTCAAGCGGAAACCCTCATCAAATAGCCGTCACGATCTTTTTTTTCCATCAGCTTTGCTGGAGGGACTAAATGACCTTTCTCTTTTCTCCCTGGAAAATGATATTGCAAAATTGTTATAAAAAGAAACCATAAAAAATGTAGATAAAAAAAGTATCAGAGGGGAGTAGCAGGCAACTATGAATAAAAACTTATGAACAAAAATTATGAAAAAAATTTATGAGGGGCCAGCCCAGTGGCATAGTGGTTAAGTTCTCACACTGCTTTGGCAGCCCAGGGTTCGCTGGTTTGACTCCTGGTCGCGGACCTACGCACTGCTCATCAAGCCATGCTGTGGCGGCGTCCCACATACAAAATAGAGGAAGACTGGCACAGATGTTAGCTCAGGGACAATCTTCCTCAAGCAAAAAAAAAAAATTATGAATTTATCAAAAATAAATTATTTTCTGGATTTTGTGGTGTTTGTGCTATTAGTCAATTTTTAAAAAAATGTTTAGGGGCTGGCCCCATGGCTGAGTGGTTAAAGTTCCACGTGCTCCACTTCAGCAGCCCAGGGTTGGGATCCCGGGCACAGACCTACGCTACTCATTAAGCCACACTGTGGTGGCATCCCACATACAAAATAGAGGGAGATTAGCACACATGTTAGTTCAGGGCCACTCTTCCTCAAGCAAAAAGAAAGAGGAAGATTGGCAACAGATGTTAGCTCAGGGCTAATCTTCCTCACCAAAATAAATAAATAATAATTTTAAAAAGTTTAATTTGTGATTTTTTCTCTCATTCTGAATATGTATCTAATTTTATCATAATAATTTTGCCTTTTTTCTTAAAGAAAGCTCCATTGACCTCAGGCTGCCCCAAACCTGGACAGACTCAGCACCATGCTTCCCTGGTCAGCGTGCGGGGTCACTAGACGGCAGCCAAGGAAAGCGTGGAGGACCTGCCTCACCCTCCTGCAGGAGCGGGCCTGCAGGCTCGGGGATCTAAATGCGAAAGGCTTGCACTCTGGAGCATCCACACGGCCTCAGGGCAGGCAGGTGCCTGGACAGGACCCCAGGCCTCCACCAGAAAGGACAAGGCGGGTCAACTGGACGAGGTGGGAACTCAGAAGGCCTGTTCACCAAAGCCACCGCGAGACGGCGCGGGGCTGCCTGCCGGAGAGGAGGATGTGTGCTCGGTGGTGCGGACACAGCAGATCCTCTATCACTGCAAGTTCCCCTGCTCCTACAGCTTATTTGTGACCCCAGACAAACACTCACAGCACTTTCATGGTGACTTGGGGACACGTGTGGAGCAGCAAGAACGCAGGTCCCCCAACACCCAACACGGGAACCCTCAGTTCCCGGCTGAGGTGGACGGGGCGACGCTCTGCCTTCCTGTTTCAGCTCGTGTGTAAACAGTGTCCTTTTCCCGGCCTGTTTAGTGCTACGTTTTTCACACTTCTGTGCTTTTTGTTGGTGATTTTGCTGCTTACAACGGCCCCTGGCCGGAGCTGACACTGCACCTGGTGTTCTGCGCGAGAGGCTGTGATGAGCCTTGCGGAGAAGATCGCATGTTAGCTGGGCTTCCTTCAGGCCCGGGGGTTGCCTGCTGGCTGAGTTCAGTGCTCATGCATCAGCCACGTGTGTTAAGTAAGGTGTCTTTATTTATTTTATTTTTTTTCTGTGAGGAAGATCAGCCCTGAGCTAACATCCATGCCAATCCTCCTCTTTTTGCTGAGGAAGACCGGCCCTGAGCTAACATCTACAGCCAATCCTCCTCCTTTTTTTTTCCCCAAAGCCCCAGTAGATAGGTGTATGTCGTAGGTGCACATCCTGCTAGTTGCTGTACGTGGGACGCTGCCTCAGCATGGCCTGACAAGCAGTGCATCAGTGCACGCCTGAGAACTGAACCTGGGCTGCCAGCAGTGGACAGCGCGCACCTAACCGCTAAGCCACGGGGCCGGCCCCAGTAAGGTGTCTTTAAACAGAAGCACGCGCAGAGCAAGGTTCTGTGTTGATCCACTGACGAAATCTGACCCGAGGCTCGCGGGAAGCTAGCCGTATATTTCCCCAGGAGCAGGGTTCGGTGTTCGCTAATTCAGTAACTCCATGTTTGTGGCGACTTTATAGAGCGTAACCATCGTGAATAGTGAGAATGGACTGTAATTGACAAAAGAATCACCTCCAGAATATATAATGAACTCCTACAAGTCAATAAGAGATGCTCAATAGAAAAATGATCAAGACATTGAACAGAGCCTCCCGAGAAGAGCTGCAGATGGCAGACGAATCTGTGACAAGGTGCAAGCCTCCCTTGTCACAGAGGACGAAAGCCAAACCACACAAACACTTCTGCACCTCCACCAGAAAGGCTTAAATTGCAAAACTGTTAGCGTCCAGGGTTGGCAAAAATGTGCGAAGAGAGAAATCTCCTACACTGCTGGTGCGAGTACTGTAAGTGAACGTAAGTGAGGCCATGTTGTTACGCTAAATGACCCTTTCCTAGTTAAAACCCTTCTAGCATGTAATCATTATAAACTACTACATGCTTTCATGATTTTCTGGCCCTGAATCTGTGCACATACCCTGCTGAGGTGCTCTGATAGCTTTGTTCTTAACCATCTTAACAAATTTTCCCAGGGAATTAGGAGGCCTCCAGGAAGAAGGAACACCTGTAGGGTATTCATCGTCACTGACAGAAGAAAAGAACAACGAGGCACCCTGGAGTCTGTCACGCCTGGAGACCGACGTTTCTAAACCCCTTCTTTACTGCCCATTTTCTCTATATAACTGCCTCAAGATTCTGTAATTCTTTAAGATGGTTTTTGTTTTTTGAGGAAGATTCACCCTGAGCTAACATCTGTGCCAGTCTTCCTCTATTTTGTATGTGGGTCACTGCCACAGCACGGCTGACGTGTAGTGTAGGTCCTTGCCCGTAATCCAAAGTGGAGTGCATGGAACTTAACCACTGTGCCATGAAGCCAGACCCTATGATGGTTTCTTGAGACATTAGTGTGCTATCTTCTGGTTATCCTGGCTAATCGAGTAAAAGCTTCCTTTCTTGATCTCTAACTCATTGTGATTAATTGGCTCAGATCGCAGTGAGCAGAGTGAGCCCATTGCTCGGTAACAGTACGAATTTTGATTTTTGTGTGGATTTTTGGAAAGCTGTTTAGGGTTATCATCTAGAGATGAACACAGCATGTCCTACTTCAGCAGACATGTGCCCAGGTGTACACGTGGATGAGAATGTTCCTGGAAGCATTTTTCATTACAGCCAAAGTCTGGCAACAAGCCACTAACAGTAGAAAGAACAAAGTGTAGCGCACACCTACAGCAGAATGGCCTCAAGTGTGCGACTGAATGTGCCGCAGCAGTGAAATGACCCGTCAGTGGAGCTGGAAACAAAACACCAGGTAGAAAAAGCCGTCACCACGTAATGCATTACTGCTCCCTTTCTGTGCCGTCAGCACAGGCCAGCAGAGTGGGTGTGTGTTTAGTTTGCAGGGTTCCCATAACAGAGTGCCACAAACTGAACTGACAGCTTAAATCACAGACATTTATGCTCTTGCTAATTCACACGTTGAAACTCTAACCCTCATGGGATGGTATCAGGAAGTGGGGCTTTTGGTAGGTGATTAGGGTTGGATGAGGTCATGAGGGTGGGACCCTCAGCGGGAAGGTGGCCATCTGCAAGCTGGGAAGAGAGCTCTCACCAGAACCCAACCATGCTGGCACTCTGATTGTGGACTTTCAGTCTCCAGAACTGAGAGAAATAAATGTCTGTTGTTTAAGCCGCCCAGTCTGTGGCATTTGGTTATGCCGCCCGAGCTGACCAAGACAGTGAGGGAAGAAAGGGAGAGACAGATGGCCCCATAGAACCAAATGGTCAAGACCCTCGAAGGGGCCTGCACAAAGAGGCTATCCACGGGATCTGGACCTGTGCTGGGTGCTGTGCTCCAGCCAGAGATTTGGTTGTGAGCTTCAACCAGAAGCTGCTGATTAGTTAGGAAGGTGTTCTAAGAAGCGTGTGGGAGGGTTTGATGGAAATGCTACTGTTTGCCATTTTAATGTGCTGGACCAGAAAGCACAAAGCTCTGCAGAAATGGTCAGATGTGGATTTTCCTTTTTAAGATGTTTTCCCTGCACTTCTCTTTCTCGCAAATTGGCCAAAGTATGTCCTCAAATCCTGTTTCCTTAGAAGTCAGTTTGGACTATGGTGAGTGGGCTTCGATTGAAAACTCTGCCTTCTCACAGGCACCATGAAGGGGTCACAACCCTCCCGGGGCCTGATGGAGGGCAGGTTCAGGGGGGTGGGTGGCCCAAGGATAGAGGAGTGGGCCCAGGGTCCCTGAAGCCATCTGGCTTGAGGTTCAGAAAGTGGGGAGGAGGCCAGCAGGGAGCCAAATGCTCCAGGAGCAGGGACTCAGAGCAGCTCTGGGGCTCCTGTCTGAGGGACCCCATGGGCCTCTGCACTCTGTTCTCCACCCTCAAGATGTTTCCTCTGCTGCCGCCAGGCCAGCTCCTCCTGGTCACTCAGTCCTGGCTGCCTCCATCCACAGTGGCACCAAAACACTAAGTGGCATTTCTGGGCTTGTTTATTTTTCAGTTTGCTGTCTGTCTGCCGCAGAACTCACCTCCAGGTGCGCAGCGGATGCTCAGTGCACAGTTTCTGGACAAATGATGAACCTTCCCAGGATCGAGGGTGTCTTCTGACCTGGTCCCTGGCATCACCCTCTCTCTCTCCACTGTCCATTTCTGAAAGCCCCACTGCGCAAAAGGGAGCATTGTGCTCTCTCCCTCTCTCCCTCCTTGTCTCCCCCCACAGGCCCTGCCAGCAGGTCTAGCACACTTCCAGGCATCTCCTCCGTAGCATTTCTGGCCGTTACACCCTCTCCTGCACATTATCCTTCCTGGCTGTGTCCGCCATCTGGTTTTTCTCCTCTTCTGGGGCCCTAGAGCCCAGCCCTTCCCGGCACCCGCAGGAGCCAGCCCCTCTGAGGCCCTGCAGGCCCTGCTGGCCCTTGGCCTGGCTCGAGGGCAGCCAGAAAAACACGGCAGGGACTGGGGGAGTCTCCAGGAGCCCGTTGGTCCACGACACCCAGCCCTGCCACACGCATCGCAATCCGCGGTCAGGCCTGCAGGAGCAGGGACCCGGAGTGCTGGCAGGCGAGGGGGCAGGGCGACCAGCGTGGACATGTCCTCAGCGCCGCCTGGACGAGACAAAGCTGTGCCTCCTGCCCGGCAGGACGCATTCACTGCCTTCCCTGGAAGTGCGGTGGGGCGGGTCTTTCATAGAGGAGAGGGGTCCGCGGGGCCCGGCAGAGGGTCACGACAGGACGGCCGCGGAGGCCAGGGTGGGGAAGGAGGGATGCCGGCCCCTCGAGCTCCCCACGGGAGAGCTGATGGGAGGGGAACCATTCGAACAGGCTGGACAGCAACGTGCCAGCGGGCCGCAGGCCCTGGCCATCGCTGGCCAGAGCCTCGGTCCCCGTCTGTGGTGAGGACAGGGGCAGGGCACCGGGGGTTCTCGGGCAGAGCAAGCCACGCGTCCGAAGACCCGGCAAACCGAGCCGCCCACTCACGGCTGGTGGGGCACGCGGGTTGCAGGCCCTCCAGGCCCGGGCCGGCTCCGTCGCCCTCCTCTACCTCGGACGCCAGACTGGGCCCCGAGGGCAGGGCCTGGCCCCTCCCCGGACCCCACCGGGGCGCCCACCACCCGAGACGCCATGGGGACCCCCAGCTCCTTCTCCGCCCCTCCGACCCCCGGGGGCCAAGGACCGTGTCGCACGCTCGCTGGGTAGTCCTGCGGAACCGCGAGCCGCGGGCGGGATCCGGGTGCCCGTGGGAGGCGGCCGTCTGCGCAGGCGCGGGCCGGGTCCGCAGGAGCAAAGGTCCCACGGCGGTGTCTGGAGGCCGCGTGCGGGGAGGCCGGTCTCGGCTCGGAGCCTGCGGGGTCGGACACGGGCGACTGGCCCGAGGCCGCCAGGCTGTCCCGTCGCCCTCCAGGCCGCGGCACACGGCCCCCTCTCGGGCCCCGCCTCCC